CATCTGATCTCCAGGCACCACCCTCAGCAGCCCAGAGCTCAGCTTCTCCTGGGCTGTTTGTCAGTTCTGGGAGGTTCCAGCTCCTGCTGGCTGAGAAGCTCAGAGAGGGCTTGGGGAAGTCACAGCTGAGCCTTCTGCCTGGACAGGCTCTCCAGCTCCAGAATCTCTGTTCGCCTCCTCAGCCACATCTTTGTCCTGACCTCTGCTCCTCTAGATGGTGTATTGTCACCTCCAGCATCTTCACCTGCTGAAGCCGTTAGGTTGGCAGCTCCCTTGTGGCCATGGTACTGGAAGATCATCTCCCGTTGCACGACAGCCCTCTTTTATCAGGGCTTCTGTGCCTTTGATGCTCGCCAAGGAGACCAGGGCTGTGTTCAGACCTCTGGGTGGTTTGCAGGTACAACAATACACACCAGCCTTCTCTAACCAAGAGAAGATAAAAGGCGAAAGCCCAAGGGTGGAGTGTAATTGATGCATTGACTTTCTGATTCTGCAGGCATCCTGGTTTATAGCCAGATCAGGAGGGCAGCCTAGGGCAGCTCATGGCTCCTGAGGTCAAAGCAGAGGCACAAGGACAGGGCTTGTGTGTGGCCACATCTCTGGAAGCTCTGTGGCTGCAGAATCCTGCCGGGTGTAGCTGGGAGAGGTGTGGAGGGGGGCGCTTTGTGCTGAAGCTCCAGATGTTAGCATGGTCCAGCCTAAACGCTGAGATGCGGGGCCTGATCCTCAGCCCGGCTCCTGCCCCTTCCTCCCCCTCCGCCAGCCTAAGGCAGGTTGCACAATTTATTTTCCTGCACTTAAAGCAGGATTTTGGCAGTCAGGGTCGGGAGGCCTCTCTGAGGAGCGCTGGCTGAGTGCCCTCCGGCTGTCACGGGATCACGCTGCTGTCAAAGGCTCCTCCGCCGGGCGTCCTTCAGCGTGGCCTTCTGCCGCAGCTTCGGGGCCGATGGAGGGAGCACCCGGGTGGCCAAGTCACCGCTGACATCTTCAGCAAGTGTAGGTGGGAGCAACGGTCACCCCAGTGTGGGTGCTCCTGCGCTGGACCGAGGTGAGAGCCATCATTTCCAATTCCCGTGACGTGGCACCTATTAGGAGGACTCGTCCCATTCTGCCCACGCAGAGACAGCCATCCCATCCTTAAAGCATCTTTTCTCAGGGGTCCTGGGCTCATCTCCTGCCATCTCCATCACCTGACTTCCCTGCAGCCAGCTGGTAAATCACGTGGAGAAAGGGAGAGCGGGAGATACAGGAAAATGACCACAGGAACATGCAAAGAGATTTGCTATTACGTTCGCTGACGGCGTAAGGGAGGAAAAGGATGCGAGTGGTAATTCCTGCTCTGCGTGAGCACGGCTGATGCTGCCCATGGTGATCTAATTGCTTTGCGAGGAGAGCGGTGGGTGAGGCTGAGCATGCCCGGGGAGGGAGGATGAGATAGTGGGAGTGATGAAAGTATTCATGGCCAATAAAGGGCATGAGGGTGATGTGGCCAAAACAGCTGGAGAGAAATATCAGCTCTGCCCGTGTGCTTGGCCATGTTGTGCTTAGACTGGAGGGTGGAGAGTTGGAAAACGCGAAGCTCAGAGCACGAAGTAGCTGAAGTTGAAGGTATGTGGCACGTGGAGTGGGTTTTCCAGGAGAAAAGGTGAAGAATAAAGACGATGGGGGTGAAGTTGGGAGTTTGGGGAATGGGAAAGAAAAAACCCATGGAGTTACCCATCAGCTGGAGCAGGGTGGAGAGGGCTTGGAGGGGATGTCCTATTTTTGCCACGATGATCTCGAGTTGGCAGCAGGACATGCGGGAAGGTTTACGAGCAGGAGAGGCTGGGTGGAGTCATTGCCTTGCGAGTCCTCAGAGGAGAGATGAGCTCACCAGGGAGAGGGTGTCAAAGGGGCCGGGGATGAGAGCTGAGGGCTCAGCCTGCCTGGTGGGGAGAGGCTTGGTGGGATGTTCTCTGATGTGTGGGGGCTGTAGGGAACAGGGTGAGCGTGTGGGGATACTGGAGGAGGTCACAAACATCTTTCTCCATCCATGGTCTCAGAGGAGCTGGCATCTCCCTGGACCGGGTTTCAGCACAAGGAATGCTGTGAGAAGGATGCAGCTGAGTGCCCCTGGCTTGTGGAAGGACCAGGGACAAGTGAAATGCAGTGGCTGGGGCAGCTTGGAGCGTGCTGGGCATTTGGCACCACATCCCCTCCAGATCCAGCACCCCGCAGCACAGGGATGGAGGTGAGAAGCGACTGCATCTGTGAACACTTCTTGCTCCTTCCCAGCCCAAACGCACCTCGAGACCTCTGGCAAGATGCTTCCAGTGGCACAGGTGGCCCCGTGGCTGGGGGAAGGGAAGGAAAGCACCGTTTTAAGCAGATGAATATCAGTGAGGAAGCCCCAGACTTACCAGAATCTAACATAAGTGACCTCTTAAGCCAGCGGTGTATCAAGTGGTTAAGGCAGAAGATTAGCAAGCAAGCTCTCCTTCCACTGATGGGAAAGCAGGGATGAAGCCCGTGGTCCACACACCGGCACCTCCTGAGGAGAGACAGGAGGAGGGAAAGGACAGCCTTGGTGTCCCCTTTGCGCTGTCAAGAGGCACCACGTGGGCAATTCTCCCTCCTAAGGACTCTCAGGAGGACACCAACGACCATTAGATGTTTGCAGTGCGTGCAGGTTTTACACAGCCCGGTGGAACCTGCTTGCTCAGAGAAGAAAACCCTGTGGCTCATTCAGCACAAGCTCATTTAATAGACAAAGTAAATATGGGGGAAAAAAAAAAAAAAGCATTTCCCGCCCCCAATCCCCCTATCCTAGTGCTGAAATTTACAGTTGTGAGAAGAGCCAGAGCGCTGCGGAGCCGGGGTATCTCCGGGTGACATTTACAGGGCTCAGCTTTCATCGCAGCTTGAAAAAAATCCCATGTGCAGAGATTATCTCCACACTGATCTGGATTGCCTCGCTCAGCTTTGGCCCTCATCCTAGATGGACAATGAGCAGAAAACTTGGCCAGCGACCTGAGATCTGTGACCTCCTCTGCATGAGCTGGGAAGAGGAGGAACAGTCTCCAAGGTACTTGAGAACTTGTGGCCTTGGGAAGGGGGGGGCTAAAGAGATGGAGCCAGCTTAGATTCCCCCTTTCCTTGAGGATTTAATGCTGCAGCCTTGACCAACCAAGCCGTTGAGAGAGGCAATCCCTGCTCTGGGGAGGAGATCTCTGGTTTGCATTGAAGAGGAACAACCCGTGGTGGCTTCACCTCAGGGTTTCCCCAGCGTGCCAGCCCCCTCTGCCACCACCTGGCAGCCTTTGCTGAAGGTTTTTTGGAGCTGGAGCTGAGCAGGCAGGAAGGAGGCAGATGGGGGTGTATTGGGGGGGATGCCTGGATGCAAACCTCCCTCGCCCTGCGCTGCTTCAAGTCAGTTGTCAGCAGCCTTCCAGCCGGACGGTGTCTGGAGACCTTCCAGCGACCACAGCCTCTCCCCCAGCCCATCACTGCCACAGCACAGACGGGATTTAACGTATGTCTGAGCATTCCCCACCCAACCTTTCCCCTCTCGAGATGAAGCAAGGAAGGAAAACAAGACGGCAGGTTTGCAGGGACCCCCTCCTCCAGCCCAGAGGATGATGGTTGTAGCTCTGGGCTTTTCTGGACCATGCAGGGAGGTCCCAGCTTGCACAGGAGGGCTGAGCAAGGCTGCCCTGTGCTGACCCCTCTCAGATGTTGGCTCGAGGTTTTTCTCCGCTCCTCTTTTCCTCCGGACTCACAGACAAGTGGGTGAGGGAGAGAGGAACCGGTTCGCTTTCCACCTCCCCTCGCAGTGCCCCTCTGCTTATTAGTTCTCCAAATATTTCGTCCCGCAGCTCGGCAGCAAGGACTCTGCAGCTAACCCGATCCCAGGCACGGGGGAAGCCGGAGCGGGTCGGACAGCGCGTTATCCTCGTGGCATCGCTCCAGGCTGGCCCGCGGAGAGCGAGCCGGGGCAGCTGGGGCCCTGCTGCAGTAAATCCTGGTGGTCGGGGCATCCCAGCAGCTCAGCCCTCCTCTCACGCTTCCCGAGGGCAGAGCACGAGCGTTGCCTTTCTCCCCAGCAGCATCCTTCCCCCCACCAACGCCCCCAACAATTGCTTCACTTTTGCTTTTCTCAGCAGCCAACGGGACGGGGGATCGTCCCCAGAGCCCTCACTGGGTGTGGAGAACCAGCATGTGGAGGAAGAGGAGGATGGTTGTGGGATGTTGGTGGGGGCAATTATGGAACAGAGGAAAACAAATCCTCTGGGATTTCCTCCCGTCAGGTCCCAGCTCCAATAAAAGTCCTTGGGTTGGAGGTACCAGTGGCCTCTCTGGACCCTCTTCTCAGTCCCCGGCTGAACAAGATGCTGGAGCAGTGAGGGGGGAAAGGAGGGGAGCATGGTGGGAACATTGTGTCCTCCGACAGCCCTGGGCAGCCGCTGAGGAGGT